CGCCCCCCCCCCCCGAGTACACAAATTTTTGTGCACCAGGCCTCTAGTTCTATATAATAAAAGCCTAAAATGCAAATCAACTGAACGGTGTTATGACCAGTTGCTATGATGCTCACTGACCACCAGGGGGCAGACACTCAATGCAGGAGCTGCCCCCAGCCCACAGGCCCCGACTGGCGGTGGTGGCAGGGGTGGGACTGGCGAGGGGGCAGCACCATGCCAGCCAAGGCGGGTGCCAGCAGGGGGCCCCAATTGCTCCACTAGTCACCCCACAGATAAGCCCTCATCGTCGGCCAGGACTAGGGACCTTACCCATGCATGAATTTTGTGCACCGGGCCTCTAATGTATATAATAAAACTATTAAAAGTAACTACAAAAACACATATTTTTAAAATTTATTTCTTAAGTGGTGGGGCTATGGGTAATTTTTCTCTGTATTTGTTGAAATTTGGTATTTTTTTTCTACAATGAATATATGCTATTTGTTAACAAAGATGTTTTAAAATAGGACATACATAAAATCAGTAATTTTACAATCTCATAGAAAAACAGTTACAGGAATGGTGACTCAGATTAACTCTGAATTTGAAGAAATTGTTCCAAGTTCAAACCCAAACTCCCAAACTGAAGTCGATGAAGCCATCTTACACACTCAGAAGGACTACACTGAAGTCTTTACACCTGTTAGCTGTTTAGAAAAATGTCCAGCATTTCAAGCACAGAACCAAGGTAAAACATTTATTTCCATTGTTTTAAAATATTTCTTACTAATATTCAGATTTATCCCAGTGAATTTTGTTTTATTAGATTAAAATTTTTATTTTATTGAAAATATCCATCTGCAAAATTATAATTCTAAGCTTTGCCACATTAGGGAAATATTTACCCTTTTATATTAATCCCCTTATTGTAAGTTAGGTTTTTGGAGTTTAAGTGTGTTGGGCCTCAAAAGAGCCTGGGAGATTTGATCATAGTGTGCTCACAGCATATTGCTGTAATAATATTAGCATCTGGGTACGGATCTGATGACACAGCAATCTGGTATTATATTAAATTAGTAGATTATTAAGTGATGCTTTTATTTTCTAAAATATCGTAAAGATTTTCAATGTTATCACATATGTGAAACCATAATTCAAAGTAGAGATGGAATAATTTCAGTATTATGTCAGGAAATTTGTCCAGTTTTTACAAATTTACCAAAAGTAATAATTAAAAGTATATTTTATCCAAAATACATCCCAAATCTTTCATAATATTAAAGGGTGCTGAATTCTTCCAGCCTCATAATAACTTGCTAAGAGCTACCTTCCTAGTATGGAAGCCTATTCCCTTTTTAAATGAAAAAACTTAAAGCTCTTTTATATAACTAGAGACCCGACGCACGGAATTCGTGCAAGAGTAGGCCTTCCTTCCCCTGGCTGCTGGCACTAGCTTCCCTCTGGCTTCCCTCACAGCCCCGGCTTTGTCCTGCAGGACATCTGATCTAATTAGCATATTAAACTTTTATTATTAAATTGGTATTATCATTTAAGATATGCTATAGTTTGAGTATGGAAAATAAATTGATTGATTTATTGCTGTTTTTATGTAGATACATAAATTGTGTATAAGTTTTTAGTATTGGCAAATAGGTGTGTGATGATATATAGAGAGTTAAATCCCTCTTATAGTTTCAGAAGAGAGAGAGTGATTGCATTAAAGATTAAACTTCAACACATGATATAGTAGGAAGAGCCTGAATTTAGAATCAGAAGCTTTGACCAGAGTCCAAACTCACCCTTAAAAAGTGGTACAACTTTGGGACAGTTATTTAAAATGTCATGGTTTTCAATTTTCTTATATAATTTCTTTCTTTAATTTATTCTAATTTCTTATAAAAATTTTGTGGGGATCAAATAATATACTAGTATATGCATATGTAAAGAGATGGTTTGTAAAAAATAACAGGCTACCCAAACATAGCTATTATTAATGTGGCAAACTAGAAGCTATTATTGTCAAATTTTGTAATAGCTACTGTCTGCAAGAATTAGAATTTTCTTTATAATTCACTGAATGAAAATATGATTGAGTTTCCCAAAGCAACACTCATAGATACAGAGAACAAACTTATAGTTGCCAGATGGGAGCGGGGTTGGAAAAAGTGAAGGGATTAAGTACAAATTGGCAGTTACCTAAAAGTCAAGGGGATGAAAATACAGTATATCCCTATATTCCCATAGAGTCAATAATACTGTATTAACTATGTATGGTGCCAGGTGAGTACTAGACTTATGGTGGGGGATGATTACTTTGTAAGTTATATAAATGTCTAACCACTATGCTATTTATATGACACTAATATAATATTGAATGTCAACTGTAATTGAAAAATAAATATTATTAAATACATATGAATTATTCATATCCTATATTTCGTTAGGGGTCCTATTTCATTATATTTCCTTCTTTGTGAGGCTGAACAATATTCCCTTGTGTATACATATACACCACATTTTTTTTATCCATCTCTGTCAACGGACATTTAGGTTGCTCCATACCTTGGCCATAGTGAATGCTGCAGTGAACAGGGGAATACAGATAACCCTTCGAGATAGTGATTTCGTTGGCCATCTGTTTCTTCCTTTACAACATTTATAACTTTCTTTGTCTCGCTGTGCTGACTGAAACTTCCAGTGCATTGTTCAACAAAAGCAGAGGAAAACAAGACCCTTTCTTGTTTCTGACATAAAGGAAGTCCTTTAACTTTTTGCCATTAAAAATGATGTAAATATCATTTCATTGTTTACATCATTTTAAATGAATCATTTTTAATGTTTACATTACTCTCAATGGTGAAATGTGAGAGAATTTACTTTATTGGGTTGGGGAAGCTTCTTTTTGTTCTGAGTTTGCTAAGAGCATTTGACCATGAATGAGAATTGAATTTTACTAACATTTTTCTACAACTATTAAGATATCTACATCTTAAATATATATAATGTCTCTTCACTAAAAAGTTATAGTCCTATAATCTAAACATAAATTGTTTTACTATTGTGATCATGCTGTATATGTGTTACAGTATTTTTAAATGTTAACATTATCTAGGGAATATTTCACCATATACTAAGATTTCCTCAAAAACCTGGTTTTTTATTATGACAGTTTTTAATCTTATTTATGATTCATACACTTGAGAACACTAATGACTTTAATTTCAAATGTGTTTCCATTTTCAATTATTTCCTTTTTAAAGTGAATCCTTGGAAATGGAATTATTTGATATAAGTATATTTTTTAGCTATATGTTCACTAGTATGGTATGCGAATACCCTGTGTACACCAACCTTATCATCACTGGATATATTATTACTGATGTTGTAATAATATATTTATACAATGTGATGGGCAAAAAATGCAATATTTTCTACTTGCACTTTAATAATTACTAGTGCTTAGTGCCTCAGATTTACTTTATAACCGCTTTTCCAGGTTCCAAAACAGACCTCTTGAGAAATTTAATGTTATTGGGACTTTGTAGAAATTTTACTATAGTCTTTTTAGCCAGGAAAGGGTTTATCTTACCTTTTCTTTAAGTTTTTAAAAAATTATCCTCATTAAAGTTTAATGGTTCCTCCATATACTTTTTGCACATTTTTGTTATGTTTTCCCTCAATATTAATATATTTATAGCCATTATGAATTAGTTTTTCCATTAGTCTTTTTTACTAGGTTTTTGTATGTATTGATTTTATAACTTTTACCAGCAACTTAGTGAATTCCTTTATTTGTTTTCATTCTGTTATGTTGGGGTTTTTAAGTAGACAAAAATTATCTTCTGCAAAGAATAAATTTATCTTCTTTTCTACTCGTAGACCTCTTTTTTCCTGCTTCTTTTCATAATTAACTAACAATTTTTTTTTTCTTAAGACAGTTTAAACACTCTTCTACAATAGAGGAAAATAGTCTCATATTTGTGTTGGTTCATATAATAGAGTTACAGTAATAAGTAAGAACTCAAGGGAATGCTGTATAGGCATAAGAATATAAAGAAATAGCACCCTTGGTTAAATACAAACAACAAAAAACCACCTTTGTAGTTATAAAGAACATTAATTGTGGTGTTTGCTGCCATCTAATGGCTGCATCTAAAAAGGAAGAATGTCCCAGTGGACTTCCAGAGATACCAGGAAGGAAAGATGGCTAGAAGGTCTGTGTTTGAAAGTGGAGTGTGAAAATGGGGATATAAACAAATGCTGTTTGGGTTTTTACTATTAATATAACTTTATTAATATTTACAGAATGAACCATCTTTAAATTTTCTCAGATATGCCCTGCTTAGACATGGAACCAATAGCTAGTTTTCTTTGGTGTGTAATGGGAAGCTCTGGGAAGCTCACATTTTTTTGCCCAGAAGATTGTCAGGAACATAACAGGTTCAGATAAACAATCTTTTAGGAAGCTAGTTTATATAACTCGTTCCTCTTTTTTTTTAAAAAAAAAATCTTTTTATTGATTTCATAGAGGAAGGGAGGAGAAAGAATCATTGATTGGCTGCCCCTTGCACGCCCCCTACTGGGGATCGAGTCCACAACCCAGGCATATGCCCCTGACCAGAATCGAACCCAGAACCCTTCAGTCCACAGGCCGAAGCTCTATACAATGAACCAAACCAGCCAGGGCTAACTGGTTCTCTTTTGACACTTGAAGTTAGCAGCAGTCAAAGGGATGGTCCCCGCTGCTCTACATTACATATTTATTAAGCACAAGCATACCAATGATATGGTTGGTCATGGGAGACATGGCTCCATGCTCCCTCTCTCATGCCATTCTAATCTTACTTCACTGAAACACCAGTGCCAGGACAAGGGACCATGCTCCTCTTCAAGGTGCCCTTTGCTTTGGGGTGCTTGGCTTTCTGAGTAGTTCCTCATCTGAGCTTACATTTTCCTTTTTCTCTTTCCACTCAAGAGTTTTTGAAGAATGGGGCCAGGTTCAGAAACCGTTAAAGCCCTGACATAATTAGCTAAGATTCTTAAGTAATACAAACATGGTAGGATAGGGACAGAACAGAAATGTATTCCAGCAATTAATTGTTAGCAGTAATATGTAAGATACATCACACTTCTCACGTAGATACTTAGCTGTATAACTTTTTCATTGTATCTAATTTTATAGCAGCATGCTTGACAACTTTAGAGTGTTAGAATCAAAGTTGGTCTCACTTTTAGGCTTTGCAGACCATCTCTATTTCCTACTAGTACATGTCAGAGTCTCTGGGGATGAACTGGGGACTTTAGGAGGCAAACTGATGCAGAGAAGAAAAGACTATAGTTATCAAAAGTCAAATGCTTTGACCTGGCTGGTTTGGCTCAGTGGATAGAGTGTCAGCCCATGGACGGAAAGGTCCCAGGTTCGATTTCAGTCAAGGGCATGTGCCTTGTTTATAGGCTCAACTCTCAGCCCTTGTCAGGGTGTATGCAGGAGACTCTCACATCAGTGTTTCTCTCTCTTTGTCTCTTCCACTCTCTGTAAGAATCAATGGAAAAATAACTTCAGGTGAGGATTTTTAAAAAGCCAAGTGCTTTCATTCCTTTACAGTTTTATTTAGGCTATTCATGGCTATGTTAAATCATGGCACAAGAGCTTTTCCTCCATTGATTAAACTAATTTTGTTGAACAGTTATAAGCGATTATAACTCTTTTAGGATATTTGGTTACTACTCAGTGTACGAAATAATATTAAAACTTACTGAGCTTTTACCTACTTACTAGTACCGTGCTACATGCTTTATATGCACAGTACAATGAAGAATTAAGGAATTAAACATGTATTTGGAAACCCCAACTTTAGCTAATGGCTCACTATAGTAACTAGATCCTTTTGTATAACTTTCAGATTTTTTTCTTATTCTTTTATATTTCTTATTTCCTTTCAGATTTGTTTTTTGATGATGAAGAGATAATTTTCACAAATAATTTGATGACCTATAAAAGTTATCTACCAACCTTGGATACTCTGTTGAGTAGGCTGAAACTGTTTTTGATAGAGGACCCCCTTTTAGATTTCAAAGAACAGATCGCCACAGATGCTGATTTTTTCGGGTACTTCGTTGCACAGTGTTGTAAATATTTGTAAGAGGAGAAAATATTCTTTGTATGCTCACAAGTCTACATGTTACCAATAATATTTTATCATTGTTGCACTTCAACTCTAATTTTAATTATTGTCTCATTTTTGGCTACATTTTATTACATGTAATTTGCTATTAGTAAACACTAATTTAATGTTTTATTTTGTTGTTAAGGGAATGTTTCTCTTTTCAAGGAGATTTGAAAGATCTTATGAAAGAAGATTTTTATGTGGATAAAGAGAACTTTTGTCAGGAGAAACTAGAAGATACAGTAGGTTTAAATGAAGCTATAGTACTTTCATTAATATTTTTACAGAAATAGTAAAGCATACTTTAAAAAATTTTAGTAATATACCTTGACCATCTACTATAATCAAATTAAAAAGACTTGATAATGGGTTGAATGCATATCAGCTAAGAAATCAAACTTACTTCCAAGGTAGTAGTTCTAAACTTTGGCAACACGTTGGAATTGCTTGGGGAATTTTAATAAAATACTGAAGTCTGGGTCCTACCCACATATATTCTGATTTCATTGGTCTGGTGTGTAGCCCAGTTATAGAGAATTTTAAAACCTCTCCCAATTATTTTAATCATTAAACCTGGTATAGCACATTAAGTGATCATATTTCTAATTTAAAAATTTAGAATTTTTTAAATGTATTAGCCCAAAAGAAGACATTCCTGCCTCTATGGATATTGTACATCACTAATATAATCAGTGACCATACAAGACATTACTAAGAACATTGCTTATTATGTAGCAGAATATATTTTTGGCTGCTACACTTCTATTTTTTAAAGATATGCATAGTATTACAATTTTTGAGGGTGGGTTTGGTTTAAAATTTGTTACATCAATTAAACAAATATAACTGTTTATGAATTCCGAAATCTTTATTTGCAAAACCTAACTAAAAATTTGTTTTACTTATATATCATTTCAGCCATCAGTGTTTTCTGAGTGTGAATTAATAGCTCCAAACCTTGATCAAGAAGTTGGTATTCCATCACTTTCAGAACTGAAGGAGTCATTACACTTAGTGCCAGAAATAATAACTTACGAAGATGAAAATGAATATGAAAAGCTTTTCAAAAGAGGTAAAGATTAATTTAAAATTTTATTACTTATAAAAACTACTTAATAATGTTTGTTATAAAAATTCTTGTTCATTTTTTTCTCAACCTCCAGATTTTTAAAAAAGATCCTGCAGGTTATATGGCAAAATCTCAGAATTATTGATGAGACTCTTTTCTCATCTTTCTCTTTATATGCTTGCAAATTAAAATGTCTCTGAAATTCATCTGACCATCTCAAGTTAATTACACTAATAAAGCTAAGATACCTATGACTGTACTACTTTTTTAGTTGTTTTCTTATATAAAATGACAAAGCACTAACAACTTATGTGCTAACTTTAGTTAAGTACAGAGAAACTCATAACCTAAAACTTAGATGGTTTCATCTCAGTTAGACTTGGTACATATTGTTGAGTTCTTTTTAAGACAACTTGTGCCCAAATATTTAACTCCCCTCTCATAAATTTCAGTTGAAATTATGAAAGACATAGAATATTAGAGGAGTGAAGGAGGATTTGTGATACCCATTGAGAACAGGGTTGCTTGCTATCCATAGACCACAGACTTGAAGGAATTCTGCAGACAAACTAAATTGAGAGAATTACTAATCAGCCTACAAGTCAAAGCAAGGGAATGAAAAATCAACCTGAGTATTTGAATAAAATTTATACCCAAACTTAAAAATATAGCAGAGCTCAGAATGCAGGGTGACCATGAGCTTTTACACAAATCTATGAATGCTAATGGTAAAGGACAAGCAACTTTATTGGATGACTGTGGTATTACACTCCCAGCATTTCCTTGGCTCCGATGGTGACTAAGTAAGAAAGAGGCATTACCACAGAGGAATGAACAAGATTACAAGACATCTATCCTATATAATAAAAGGCTAATATGCAAATCAACGAAGCAGTGCAATGACAAGTTGCTATGACACACACTGACCACCAGGGAGTAGATGCTCAACACCGGAGCTGCCCCTGGTGGTCAGTGCGCTCCCACAGGGGGAATGCCGCTCATCCAGAAGCTGTGGCAAGTGCAGCGGTAGTGGCAGGAGCCTCTCCCATGGTGAGCAAGCCTAAGCCATCAGTCAGACATCCACCGAGGGCTCTTGGACTGCGAGAGGGCACAGGCCAAGCTGAGGAGCATTCCCACCCCCCGAGTGCACAAATTTCTTGCACTGGACCTCTAGTATATATATAAAAGGCTAAGTGACTGACCGTATGTCCATCTGACCAACAGACCGGCCGGTACATATGACGTGCACTGGCAATTTAAAAATAAATGTTGACTCGCACATGTGCAATACATATAAAGCTCTCACTGGCACCAATTACATGCATGTGTTTCAATCTTTCATTGTTGATTGTGAATTTGGTTGTTTTTGTTGACATTGTGAAGCTGAAAGAAAGCTGCATCGTCAACAGAATATGTCTAAAGAGCAACTATTGGCTCAGTGTACCTCTGAAGCCAAAAGAAGCCAGCGTCGTCAACAGAATGTATCTGAAGACCAATTATTGACACAACATACCATTTGAGTGATGATTCCATCGATTCAATGGATGATGCCGAAAAGAAAAATTTTCCCATCGAATTTCTTAATAGTATTACTCTTTCAAGAATGCCATGTCATAAATTAAAATTGAAAGTAGGTGCAATCATCATGCTACTGAGAAATCCTAATAGTAAATGGGGTCTTAGTAATGGTACTAGATTTATTATCAAAAGATTGCGACCTAACATAATCGAAGCTAAAATATTGACAGGATATGCGGAAGGAGAGGTTGTTCTGATTCCAAGAATTGATTTGTCCCCATCTGACACTGGCCTCCCATTTAAATTAATTTGAATACATTTTCCCGTGATGTCAGCATTTGCGATGACTATTAATAAATCACAAGGACAAACTGTAGGAATAGGCAGAGTAGGAATATTCCTACCTCAACCCATTTTCGGACATGGTCAGTTATATATAAGTTTAATCAATTTATCAGTCATTGTATCAATGTTTTAATATCATGTCTTTGTTGTTGTATCATGTTATTATTTATTAATCAATTTATATATATTATTTTCATATGCATTTTACTAATTTTCTTTCATCTCTGACACTTCAATTATAGAGAAAGGGCAAATAGCGATATTAAAATATTTCTTCTAATTAATTTCCTTTCGATGTGCATAAATCCGTGCACCAAGCCACTAGTTTATTATACTAGTACTTTGGCTGAAAATAGACTTCCTTCCTTTTCTTTCCAGATCCTACTACCAAGCATGCAATTGACACTGAAGATATAAAATGCAGCTCCACAGAGAATTTGGCCATTCAAAGCCAATGCAAACCAGAGCACCATAAACCAGGTAGAAATTTTGACTAAATCATTGAGTTTTCCAGCCCTGGCCAGTTTGACTCAGTGGATAGAGCATTGGCCTGCAGATCAAAGGGTCCTGGGTTTGATTCTGTCAAGGGCATGTACCATGATTGCAGGTTCCTCCCTGGCCTGGGCCCTGGTTCAGGATCATGCAGGAGGCAACCAATTGGGATGTTTCTCTCACATCGATGTTTCTCTCTGTCTTTCCCCCTCTCTTCCACTCTCCCTAAAAATCAATGGAAAAATATCCTTGGGCAAGGATTAACATAAAATACTTTAGTTTATCAGAGGTTACCTATATCTGATGTAAAAGTACACTGCATTCACATACAAAGTCTACTATGGGACAGTTTTCATGTTTAAAATTTGATTATTGTAATCCAAGGTATTATATTTTTCTCTTATCTGTTCTTTTACATGTATTACTATCACTAACTCGTTATCCTTCTAGCATCAAAACTGAATACCTTACAGAGAGAGTTACAAGATCAAGGAAGAAAAATAGAGGAAATAGCATTAATATTAAAAATAGGAATCTTACAATATTATAACTCAGTACATGAAATTTTATATTTTATCTCAATAAGTAATCTTGCTAATCCTTGTTATATTTTTATAAATTTAACCTTTTTAATCTCTCAAAGCAATCTTATAATTATTGTTAATGTTATAATTTTATCAAATTTGGAATCTTAGAATAATCTTTTGTTCCAGTGTAATGCCAAATTATGTTGTTTCTTAACTATGTTGATGATATTTAACTATGTTATTTAGTCATATTTATAATTGGATCATATTAATAATCTATTTGGAAGTTTACTTACTTATTTATGAAAGTGATAGGAACGTACTGACTACTTATGAATAAATAAGGGTCAGTTTGTCAGGCCCACCCTATTAAAATGTAACTCTGCTAGGTCACCTAGACCCCAGACTTATTAAGGTGAAGGATTACCCACCATTAATACTACTTACTTAACATCACCAATATTTATTCTGGAGGTTAAAATAGTACTGACAACAAAATTGTCAGAATTAAAAGCACGATTACATATAAAGCTCTTAGAATTTATCTTATATAATAAACTCAATAAAGTTTAGTTGTCAATTGATTTTTTAAAATATATTTTTATTGATTTCAGAGAGGAAGGGAGAGGGAGAGAGAGATAGAAACATCAATGATGAGAGAATCATTAATCTGCTTCCTCCTGCACATTCCTGACTGTGGATCAGGCCCACAACCTGAACAGGAATCGAACCATGACCTCCTGGTTCATAGGTCAACGCTCAACCACTGAGCCATGCCAGCTGGGCTCAATTAATTTTTTTAAAAACCAATACTATCACAGTTGAGACACCATAAAATGTATGTGTAATTGCTTATATAGATGAAAAATTAAGTTATTTTGTATTTCAAGTAAGCCAAGTTTTTATTGAAAAAAATTTTTTGTAACGTAATGAACATAATAATTGCTAACAAAAATTCTAAATTATACTTAATTTTATTCAATGTTTATGTAATATTATGATTTTTAAATTTGTATGCATTCTAGAAGAGTTAGAAGAAGAGTTAGAAATGCTATTGCCTCCTCTACACCTAGCAAACCAACATTCTTCTGTGAATTCTTTATGTACAGGACTTCAGACATTTCCATTTTCTCCTGTTTGTAAAATGTAAGTGAAGATTATATCTAGAACTCCAATTGCAATTCAGATCAAGCAGTTTTTAATTAAATCTCTTTATGTAAAGGCAATTTCTAAGATATCTCTGTGAAAAACATTCTAAGTGTCTAAAGTAAGCAACTGGGGGGGGGAATATATGAATATACATGTACATACTTGGTTTTACATGCATAGAATATCTTTTGAAGGACACAAAAGGAAATATGGAAGCTAGTAAGTAATAGAGCCAGGCTCTTTTATACTTTTAGTATTTTGAATGTTAATATATTACTATTAAAAATAAACAACTTGAAAATTTTATACCATATGACATACATGTAACTTAATATTTTCCAAGTTAGATTAGTTTGCTCTCCTGGAATAAAGTCACCCATTCTTCTGTTTCTTATACCACTTATAAAACTAGGAACATGACTAGTATAGTCCCCTTCTTCCTTACTTTAATCCTGGAATTTAATGTGTTCTAAAATAGCACATTTTCAGAAAAATTACCAAAAAAAAAGGTCTATAAATCTTTAATGAATTATTCGGAGAGTGGGCATCATCGGAGCTACAAGCAGGGTTTTGAGTTCTTAGCTGTAATTGGCTGATCTATCAGAGGAGAATGCTGTTGGGTTACCAGGAGCAACTCATCCCTAGCTGCAGATTCCTGCTAATGTTCTGAGAAAGGTGTCTGGCATTGAGGGATTATCATCATCATCATCATCATCATCCCTGGCAAAGAATTAGGTCATTTGGAGGGTATATCTGTGATACAGAGAACTCTACCATGAACTAGAACTCCCTGTATCAGACATGAGCTCTCTAAAAGTAGCATGAGACAAATATAGAAAATACCTATAATTTGTCCAAGTAGTTTGAGTCCTTTTGTAGGACCTATACTTTCTTTTTATTGCTCTTTTACATTTTTTTATTTACTCCACATACCATGATCCTTCTGTTAAGGCAGATTGGCAATCTGAAACAGAAACTAGCAGAAATTAGTATAATCTTGAATTTTAATTTGATATAAAAATATTTACTTAAAAATAAGTTATATATCTATTTTTGTTATAACTCAAATATCTAATGATAATTTATGAAACTTATCTATGTATTAAAACTTGCCAAAGTTAGAACAAGAGACTAAAATTAGCCAAGGTCCTAAGGTCATTGAAAACAATTTAAAGTGGTCTCATCACCACTACATTCATTAACAAGCAGTATATCACTTCCATTTGGTTTGCGAGTTATATAAACTTAAATATTCCTATTTTTAAAATGGATTTACACCTCAACCATGAAACTGCTAACAACGAGGAAAAGTATTAAAATAAAAATACAACAGAAGGGGGGAAAATATATAATATTTTTGTATTTTTAACTTGCTTTTATGACCCCAATTACTTTGTTTCAGGACACATTTTGGCTGGAACTATACCCAGTTAACACATATTTTTAGCGCCTACCGCCTATAAAACTCAATGCTAAATTTTATGGGACTAAAAAGAAAAGTCTGTATGGCATAAGACTTAATTTCCATACTAACTGATTTCTGAATTATGAATATTTTCATATATAATCAAAGAAAATATCAAATTCAGATATGTCTTCAGAAATTTCCATTAAGCATAAGAATACATGTCTATATTACAGTCTCCTGTTGGACTTGGCCGGCCTAAATATTTCCCCTTCTTTTTACTTTAAAATAATTACCTACAATCAGATGTGTCCAGTTGCCATAGACCTTGGTAAGGTTCAAGAAGGCCACTACATATCAGATTATTTTATTATGTGGGTAAATTGGATTGTTTAGACATAAAACCTAGCTTTCTTAGCCCAGGACTGTCAATTTAACTAGCAGTACTTATCATTAGCATGCTCATATCTACATTATAAAAGGCCAAGTGGCTGTAACGCCATAACGACCAAATGACCAGTCACCAGGAGGTGCATTGATGGGTCCCATGGCGGTGGCGGGAGGGACTCTGAGTCTTGGAGTGTGGCAGGTTTAGGTCTTGCACGATTTCACATGCTGAGCCTCTAGTATGTTTCATATGAAGAGAGAAACAGAATACAATCAGTTGTTATTTAGGAGGGCTTAGGAAGTTTGGGGGCATAGATTAAGGGGCTTGTGAATTAATGCTCACTTCCCTACCAAGGCTAGCATCTTCATAGTTGTTGATGTGCTATAATTTATATTGATTGCATATTTTCTCCCTTTAGGACCAAAAATGCACAAACAGACACATATCTCTCACTCACACACCTAAAATTGAAGG